CAAAGAAAACTGGATTGCCCCAAAAAAAATTCAAACACACAAATAGATAGAGGAACGGCCATTGTAAAGCACTTTTATAATTGTTGCTTTTTAAACGTACCATGGGGAATAAGCAGCTCTACTAGAATCAACCCAAAACATTAAAAATCTAAGGCCAAGAATTTATTGTGGTTTATAATTTTGATAAAACCATACGTTGTAATCAGTCTTGTCAAATGGGATTGGAAGGGAAAAACATAAAATCTTACCTTGAAATCACTATTGTGATCAAGCTCATCAAATATCAGCTCAAAATCCTCAAATAAAAATTGGAGTCAAGGGGATTAAAATAATACTACGTCAAAGGGAGCAAATAATTAGAGTCTGGCACGATTAAAAGAACAACATTTACATAAACAAGGCAACTAAATCTAGTACTTTACAAGTTCATTAATGTTTAAACCATGTTATATCATACCCTTAACTATAAAGTTCGACATAACCGTATCACTTGTTATACCGGGTCATTTCACTGAGCAAGGCTTGAAAAGAGAGCTGCTTTTTTACCAAGTTTAAGCACACATGAGCTCAGGTCTTCAAATTATTACCATCTTATCTTCTAATGTATGTTAAGAGGCAAAAGTCAATACTATGATCTTTACCTTCTATTCTACCAAAATTTACTAACAACAAAGACATTAAATCTTATAGAAGTAACTTCATTCCAAGAATATCAGGTTGATGTGAATGATTCAAGGTTTTGGATTTGGTCCTTACATTAAGTCCACAAAGTATAGAAGTGCCTTATAAAGTGTTGAGTAAGAAAAAATACTCAAGAACATTATAAGTTATGCCAGTATTTTAGACTTTTAGTGGGATGGGGATGAAAGGCCGAGAGAAGTGGAGATGATCAAAGACATCTATGGGGTTAACTTTGATAATAAAATTCCAATTTTCATGTTTAGGATCATTGATGTAGAAAACCAGCTCCACTTGTGAAGCAAAAAAAAAACAATATCTTCTTCCAATTTTTCTCTAGAGTGAATTGGACGTAAAAATTTTACTAAGGTATAACCAAATTGATCTACTCTCATGCCATTATTATTAGTGTTAACCTAGTCACACTTGAACAACACAACTATATAGAATTTTGAATAATTGATGTCAAAAGTATCACTATGTCGGCCGTAAAAATTGAAATCTCTAATTTATGTGGTTTTAACAAAGCCATGACGTTTTTTTTTTTTTCATCACATTCTTTAGTGTGAAAGTTATATCCGTTAATATTGAATCATTTGTATCGTCGAGCAACTTTACTAGGGCCTTAACAAATGATTTTACTTCATCTGATACTAATGGATCATCATTTTTCATTACCTTAATTTATTTTGTAAATTAATAATATGTCAGAAACAAACTTAATATTTAAACATGTAAATTTCATCTTTACCATTTGCTTAAACCAATCATGGAAGCTTTCATTCACGATATTCTCAATATCCGTTGATGTAAGATGTGTATAATGTCATCTTTTTCTCTTCTCACTAGTAATGAAAATATTTATGTATGTAACAATGTTATCACAATGTCGAAGCACATATTTATGTGCTTGTATTAAAGACTTCTCATCTAACACATATGATACCACCTTGCCTAGAGAAATTCTTGCACTTAAAAATTTATAATGGGCCTTTTCATTATTTGATAAAATTTTTGAAATTGATGAATTATGTGAAAATTCCGCAACTTCAAGATATTGCGAATAAAATATTACACATTATTTTCACATAAGATCTTCAATAAGTACATGACAATCACGACTTCTTAATCCCATGATTTTCACAATAAATAGCATTCACAAACCTACAAAATATTTGATGAATAACCTTTTAGCAATTTAATATTCTTAAGCACCTCGCAAAATATTAATCTCTGCTTTTTTGAAATCATAAAATAGGCTAGAGGTAAGAAGTAATCACTATTTTTCAGGAGTTGTGGATGTAAATCTCTCTTTATACCAATGTCAACTAAATCATGACATGCTTTGAGGTTATTTTTAGGTTTATCAAGACCTAATAAAGTGCCAAAAATATTGTCACAAATATTTTTTTTTCTATATGCATGACATATAAATTGTGGGGCAATAAATCAGTCTTCCAATATGGCACGTTTAAAAAATACTCTTCTTCTTCCATTTACTAGTAGTTTTTTATTATCCAACTGTTGCTCCAAAATGAAATCTTTTCACACCTTCTACAATTGACTTGGAAGGTTTACCAAATTTAAAGTTTAAATTTTCAACTTCAAATAAAATTGTACTTTTGTTACATCTCTGAGGTGCACTTCTAATTTCTTCTTTCTTATCAAAATGAAATTTTTATTTGTAAAATATATGATCAAGTGGTTGCCAACATCGGTGACCCATATAAGAGAACCTCTTATTCTTATACAACCAGAAGAATTAAGTATTTTTAGTTCAACAAGAACATGCAAATCTTCCTTTTGTACTCCATCAAGATAACATTCCATATGTAGAAAAATTATTAATTGTCCATAATAAAGAATCACATTTTGAAATTCACTCCACTTGCAACATTAAAGCACTAAACTCCATGCAATAACTCAAGTAATTCTTGAATTAGCGTTAAAGAAAAACATCAATATTATTTATGGGACTTTTTATCCACGAATAGATGTTGATAAGATGAATGAGCTATGTCGGTGGCTTATTATAAATATCTAAAATCACAGATCATAACCTTGAATGGATTGAAATTATTAGCAGCCAATCCAAGACGAACATTACCATAGTCTTGAAGCAAATTTGAGATATTGTAAGTCAAATGATTTCTAGGCTTCTCTATCTGTCGGATGTCGACTTACCATCGTCATTTTTATGTTGTCTACTATAGATTTCTTTGATTTCAATAACCTTCGTAATCTTAGAATCAATGGAAAATTTTGAATTATTTTTGCTAACTTCATACAAGTTTTTTTTCCTACAATATTAATTTTTTTCTAAGTATCATTCCATCTCGATGAGCCACAAGTATCACCATACCTCATGATTAGACTTCTCTTTCCAAAATAGCATGCAATCATTAAGACATGCATCTATCTTTTTAAAACCAAGATCAAATGCTCTCATCATTCTTGTCATCTCATATGTGTTCTTACGCAATGAAGTGTTGTTGGGGAAGGCTTCTACTAATAGCTCCAGTAACATATCAAAAAAACTTGCAGTCCATGAGTGTAAACATTTTAAATGAAATAAATGAAATATAAAAGATAATTTTGTGAAAGACTTGCACCCTAAACATAATTCGGCTTCCGCATCTTCTAACAACTTCAAACTTTGATCATCACTTGTTGGATGAGAATTAGATGTTTCACAATCGATAGTTGGATCATTTAAATTATTTTATGTGGTAAGAGTTTCCCTTGTTAATCCTTCTATATCGTTCATGTTTGATTCTTCCGCTTGAATTTGCGATTGTTGAATATCAAACATGTTTATCATTTCATATTTCGCACCTTCACTGATAGTGTTATACTTTTCCTTGTGTCGGTTCCATACGACATAACCAAAAAAAATTCCTCTAGAGATTAAATGATCTTTGAGGCCTTTCATAGTATAGAAAAATCTTTTAATACAAACTCTACAAGGACATAAAATTTTAGTTGTTGAATTTTTACTCTTAGTTGCAAACTACATGATATTTTCTACGCCTCTTTTGTATTCAAGAGTCCATCTAGGTCTTTGCATCCAACTTTTATCTATTATAAGATAAATAAGTGACAAACTCACTACACATACATAAGATATTAAGATAATTAGTTGAATCAATTAACATATTGAAATACAAGTGGAAGAGATAAAAGTACTCTAATGTGCATAAATTTTGTTTGGCAGCTTGAGTAGGATTTATCAGGATTGAGTTAATAGAAAAAGTTTTCATATTAATTAAATCATAGTTGCTTATCCAAAATAAACATACATCAATATTAAATATAAAATTATCATTAAGTTGCTAGTTTAAATAAAATTTAAAAAAGTGCATCAGAGTTGTATATCCCAAGTTTTTTCAAATTAACCTAGATAAATCATACAATAGGAAAAAAAAAACATGCATAACTAATGACTTAGCCTCCATCTTTAATAAAATAAGGTAGAACATTATGAGGTTTTTTTGTTATAAAGCACTAAATCCTGACAATCATTTAATTTCATTTGCTAACAAGGAGTTTTCCGAGGATAATTACAGTAGTTATGGAAGCTAATGAGATTCTTGGTATAAACTTATAAATGACAGAAAATAGCTCTCTTATAAGGAAAATGCCAAGAAAAACCGATCTGTGTAATTTTATTCTAATTCAACTTCATTGCAATTGATACCTTATACACAGCCATCAAAACAATTAAAGTTCTTAGGCTGAAAGACTGTTCACTAAACTCTTTAGCAAGCTATTAACCAGTGTCTGAGTAAAATCTATATCAATTGGATTGTGAAATCCAGGCACAAAAATAACCAATTCTCCTAAAACTCTTTGCTTGTCTCTTGTTTTCACCAATAACGCTCAGAGTTGATGCAAAACAACCAATGTTGAACTTACGATTGGAAAAGTTAATGAAGCAACGTGCATAAGAGAAATAAAGTGACATGCAATGCCTTCAAGCAACCAATTTTTTGCTCATCTAATATTACTTTTATATATAAACTCTCAAATAACATTAGAAGCAATACAACTAAATCTTATAGCAACAAGTAAAATTAATTGAAGTAAGTGCACATTCAGGATTTTTTTTCAACAATAAGAATGTGCACAAATGTTGCATGGTGCTTTTATATCTTCACATTGTTGAGATAGGACTGCAGAAATATTAAGCATTTTGTAGGAATTCTGCAATGCCAACAACTCATCTAGTTGTAAGAAATACCTATGAACATTAGTAATTTATATAAATAATATCTTTGTAACCTGATTTTTTTATTTTTATTTAAAATTTTTTGCATTGATTCTTTGCGGTATTTGTGAACAGAATTTTTTGCAAGAACCTGAGCTTGGTCACTGCAGAAGATTTCTACTATGCGGGGTTGGCCCAAGCTGGCAACACGACGAACTAGTTGGGATTGCTGGTGACGCCGACTTTTGTTCAGCAATTCCCTGCAGTGAACACTTTCGGCATCTCCATAGATCGTGTAGACTTTGCACCTTATGAAGTTAACCCACTGCACACTCATCCAAGGCGAGCGGGATACTTACTGTACTGAAGCGCAAGCTCATTGTTGGTTGTCACCTCCAACCCCGACTAACAAAAGTGCTTCATGAGGGAAAAAACTATGTCTTCCCTTAAGGCCTCATCCACTTTCAGATCAATAACAGGAACTATGTCTTCCCTTAAGGCCTCATCCACTTTCAGATCAATAACAGGAAGAAGAATGCGGTGGCTCTCGCAGCATTAAGCGGACAGAATCCTAGTGTGGTGAAAGTGGCAGACCCTGTCTTTAGATCGAATCTGCCTATCATTGCTATTATTTTGGATAAGGCATTTCAGCTTGATGAGAACACTGACCGAATGCTCCAAGCCAAGTTCTTCATCGTCAATAAATAATTAGTATTAAACCATGCGTTAATTAACTAAGACGTACTACTCGTCTAAATTAATAAATGACCATGTTACATGGATGGTTGATTTGTTTGCTTTCCTCATATTGTCTTGCTATATTTCATGTTTATTATCACTACTATAAAAAGGAGTTGTGATGACTACTTTATTATACTAATCAGGTTGGGGGAATCAATAGAAACGGTAGAGAATTTAGTTTTTTTCTCTGATAGAAATAATAACATTGCTAATGATTTATCTGTTGTATTTTCAGAGTCGCATTATGATCGCTGCACTTATTATATTACTATGGGTATCACGTTGAAGTGTAAAACCAGTAGTTGCCATGAGGAATATCAATTAGCTTCCAAAGCTTCTGGAAAGGTTGAGTTTTTTTTTATACTTTTACAAATTACGGATGAAGAATCAAGCCATAGACACCTACCTATAGAATGAAGATGGATTTGAGAGATGGGCTCATGTTTTTTTTGGGAATTGATACAAAATGATGACCGTTGGTATTTCAGAGAACTTAAACAATGTTACCAAGAGTGCAAATTCCTATCTAATGACTACTTTGTTAGAATCCTTAAAACACACAATATTAAATGGATCTTTTAACCGATCGATGTTAAAATTATTTCTCTCGACTTTATTCAACATAACAGTAAAACAAATCATCAAACGCCTTGCAAGCATCCAACTTTCACTATTCGAGATTTCAAAAATAGCAAATCCAGTCCCATCTCCAGCACGGCAAAACTAAAAAGTCACAAGAGAAATAATGGCGCGAACAGGCTTACCTTCCTCAATGGTTTTGGGTAGGAGCAGAGTGGAAGGAGAGGAAGGAAAAGACCGTGTATCACTACGGCGATCTCGTCGTTGCCTTCCCATAGAATCCTCTAAACGCGATGGTATCGCTGAGAGTGCGGTCACCAAAGCGATGATTTTGGGCGAAATCGGAAGA